GCAATGCCGAAATGTTTGCTGAAAATACAATTTTTCAAAAATAATTTAGGCACCCATGTATAGGTATAAATAACTATCTCTGTATCTGCAAGAGTTCAATCGCCACCTTATAATATTGTTATAGTTTTACTTATTTCTCTTTAATGTTAAAACTTTAAAGAAATAATTTGTATATTACTTACTAGCATTATCTGTATCACTTCTAATTAATGATTATAAAACACATACGTTATATTCAGTGCCATCGATATACAGGCTTGAACAAGTTTAAACATACCAAATAAAATAAAAAAATCTTTAATATAATGATAATATATAATTTGACTTAATATATTAAGTGCAAAATTTTCATCTAATATATATAATAATAACAATTAAAATGTCTAAAATTTTTCTATATACTTGAAACATTCTTAAACATAAACAAGTTAAAAAAAGATATCAACAAATATACGACACTTAAGTTATTGTAACTGACCTATATCAGATCTTTTTTAGGTTGAACTGTAGTACAAATAATATTATTGTATAACATTTCTATTTAAAAATTATGGACTAGAGTTAAAAGGACTAAACTAATTTTGGCTTTCTATCAGCTATGAATGTATAAGTATTGTGCTTGAAACAGTTTTTTCACAAATACTCGCTCTATCATTAGTGATTGTAAAACCAGCTCTTGAGAATGCCCTTTCACTAGAAACACTTGAGGGTTTAATACTTAGAAAATCACGTACCATTTTGCTAAGTATTGGAAATCTTGACGACAATGATTCCCAAAGTTTTATTCTAATATCTAAATCTCCAAGGGGCTCACTTTCATATAGTTCTAATTCATACTCAATTGTATCTATTTGTTTTCATCTTTTTGAAGTTCTTCTTATAGGGAATAAGAAATCTGACGTAGAATTGTCATTATTATCAATTTCAACATAATTTGAAGAACTTGTGCTAGAATATTTTGTTCCATATGAAATAACTTTTTTGTGAATATCATTGACAAATATTTTTGCATCACTATTATTATATTCACCAACTTCTATTAGCGTTGCCTTCAAGTGCTTCAACTTATATTTTGGATCAAGTACATGGGCAATTATAATATGATCAAGGATAGATTTCCAATATTTGTCAAATTTTTTTGTCATTAAAATATTATTAACGTTAATATTATTATCTCTAAATTTATGAATATGCTGATCAATTTCTAATATAACTGTTAATGCATCAGAGATTGAGTTCGATTGTTTTTCTGAAAGAACTGACGTAGCAATTTTAAATGGTTTAAGGAACTGACGGAAAGTTTTGAGAACTATAAGGCTTTCATTATCTAAGCAAGTAAGCACTGATTGCTCTTTATAACTCATCTTTTGAATTGCCAAATACAAATGAAGATATTTCTCGAACATTTCTAACGTGGAGTTTTAACGTGTATCAATTTCAAGAATAGGCTTCAAAAAGGTTATTCCAGAAATTCTACAGTATGATTCTAATACTTCTAATCTATTACTAGCTAGAGGATTAGCTAAGAATTTCATGACTTTATGAACCTTTTTATGTAATATACTAATTTCATTTAGACCCTCTTTAACGATTAGATTAAGAATATGACATATGCATTCTAAAAAAAAGTTCAAAGATAAAAATTAATAAAAAAGATTTAAAATTAATAATATATATATTTATATCTATATATATATATATAATAATAATAATATATTAACCTATTGAAATTAATTCTGTATCCAGCAACTCATTTTGGAGCAATCAACTTACTGCTTTATTAGTAGTAGTGTTATCCATCGTAAGTGCAAATATTTTTTTTTCAATAGAATAATTTTTTAATGTGTTCATGATTGCTGATGTTATTTCATTCGCTGTTTGCCCCATCTTTTGAAAGCTTAGAACAATATTAACTATTTTCTAATTATCACCCACTCAGGATCCTGTAATAACAGTATAATGGCGCTTATGAATGGTTGAGTACTATCTATCACACGTGAGTGAAATTTTTCTAGGAGTTTTGGCAAATATATCTTTACCAAATTTTAATCTCAAGTCAAATATATTGGCAGTGAGATGTCGTGATATCGTAGTTGGGTGTGGAATTTTATATAAATAGGTAACATAGCAAAGATTTTTAGTCATTCTATGAAAAAATGGATTATTAAGGACATTAAAGAATATTCCTGTCACAACAACCATGTCTACTATTGAATTATCTACATCTTTTTTAGTGATTGGTTTGAACTCCTCAGTCCGATTTTTGCTTAGTGGAGAATTAGGACATGACATGGTATGGTTTTTTAAGTGCGTTCTGCTAGTTTTTATTACATATATTTTTTTTTGGCAATGTATACATTTCCAAAATTTTTTATTATCATCTATTATTTCTATCCAATTATTCTTAGTATTATACATATTACCAACAACTACCATTTTATTATTATTAGATGTTAAGAAACTAGAAGCGGAATTATTAGGAGTACTAGAAGTGAAATTATTAGGAATACTAGAAATGGAATTATTGAGAGTACTAGAAGTAGAATCATTAGAAATACTAGAAATAGAATTATTAGGAATACTAGAAGTGGAATCATTAGGAATATTAGAAGCAGAATTATTAGAAGTACTAGAAATAGAATCATTAGAAATACTGGAAGCAGAATCATTAGGAATTAAATTTTCTATAATGAAATATAAAAAAAAGTAATATAAAAGAAGATAGAAAAGTACTGTAAGGTAAGAATATAGAAAAAGTAATATAGTACAAGAAGACAAAAAAAGCACTTTAAGATAGAAAAGTAATGTAAATCAAGAAGCACTATAAAGTAAGATAGAAAAGGTAATATAAATCAAGAAAAGAGAGAAAACACTATAAGATAGGAAAATGATGTAGTATAAGAAGACAGAAAGAAAGCACTGTAGAATAGAAAAATGATGTAATACAAGAAGACAAAGAGAAAGCAATATAAAATAGGTGATATAAGTCAAGAAGACAGAGAGAAAGGTAAGATAAAAAAGGTGATGTAAATCAAGAAGACAGAAAGAGCACTGTAAGGTAAGATAGAAAGGTGATCAAAAAACAGAGAAAGCATTTGATATTTATATTTAAATGAGCTTTATTTAGTATTTGGCTCTAACATTTATCTAATAAATACTAATCTAACACAATCGCTTACTAGGCATTTTACATTATTATTTTTAATATTTAACACATACTTATTTTAGGGTATTACTAGAGATTGTGCCATCTCACATATATTAGTGCGAGATGCTTAATTGTTATATAATTAATAATATGTAAATTACATCGAACGTTAATAATTATCAAGTTAAAATATATACTGATTAGCACTTGCATTGATAAGTGCGTGATTGTATTACAGTGTTTGGACTTTAATAAATTATAAATTAAACTCAAAGAATACTTGCATAATTTAATTGATTTAATTTATTCTAAATATTAAAGATAAGTGATTGTTAAGATGTGTTATTCTTATTAATAAATATTACTTCAAATTTTATTCAAAAAAGCTAGAATTACAAAATGAGTTTGATCGCATTTTTAAGAGCACTTTCAAGAATAAATATGGTCCTTTAATAGTAGAATGTCTCATGAATTACTTATGATCTGTCTCATAAAGCACAAAAAATAATTGTAATTATGTGCAGAGTTAATTGTATACCAAAAATCAGAATGTACATAAAATAAGAGATACAAACTAAAAAGGAAATCTTCTAAATATTGATCATAAAATAACGATTAGTTAATAATATTAAAAGACTTTCTCCTGCTTTATTCGTTTCTAGTGTAATTATCAAACAATTAAAAATATTAATTTAGAGAATACCCTATTTCCACCATAGAAATTTACTATTTCCACTATGCTTTTTACACGACTTCAGCTATATAAACATGATAAACATATTGTCATGATAAATTATGTTCAATGATGCAGAAATAGAAAATTTTTATAGTGAAAATAGACATTCTCTTAATTTATTAATTAATTTGTTAAATTATTAAATATTAAGTAGAGTTTAACTGTCGTCCTGCATCCCAAATCTCTAGTAAAAATTTGTTAAATAACAATAACTAATATTAAAAGACTGTTCCCTGCTTTATTCAGTACGTATATTATTTTATTAATTAAAAATTTCTATATTTATAAACACTATACTGATTGATGTTAGCGCACTAAACTATGCAGGCAGAAGTTAATATGTAGATAATTAGTTACAATTAATTAATTAATTTTATATTTATAGTGATTTATGCTGCGCCAATGTCTATTGTTTTAGAGTAAATTTCATTATAACCTCCAGATTTATTTTTGAATCCGAATTTATATTAATTAGTAATTTTCTGCTTTGGGTTTAAACCTGAATTATTAATTAAAATCTGAATTTATTCCAACAATTACTTTATTAGTCAAATTTTAAAAAAATAACAATAATAGTATTATTGTATGTACATACATACATATAGGGCTGTTAAAAGTCTGATCCTATCAGTCAAGACTTCACAAATAGTAACTTTGATCAGGATTTGGTCCTTGAGTCGATCCTTGAGTCAAGTCTGTATATGACAATATGTGATTATTAATGCTATTTTAATATTCACTGCAGTATTGTAATCATGAATTAAAATAGACAATTCCCAGAACAAAAGACATGCAGACCCTGTATCCAGACTTTGTCTGAGACACAGTCCTGAAAATTCTGTGTGAAGTCGACTCAAGAACCGGGTTCGACAAGCTTTTTAACAGCCCTATATACATATAATCAATGATAAAATATTTGTTCACTTAAGGATAAAAATTATTCTATTAGTATAGAAATTCTATAGATAGTCAATACCTTTGTTCCATATATGTTTGTACAAGACAATATGAGTATTACAGATTCAGTAGATTTGATTTTGTGTCTGAATTTACAGCTGTTCTCATAAATTCTGGAACAACTAAAAAAATTTTAATGACCGAATTCAATAAGTTACAGAATCGGAATCAATAGGTAACTGACTTCAGCTGAACTCAGAAACTTATCGAATTCGGTCATTAGAAATTTTTTATTGTCTTAGAATTTATGAGAACAGCTATAAATCGAATCTGAAAGAAATCAGATTTAAATTTGAAGGTCGAATCAGAGCATAGTTATTTATACCTATACATGGGTGCCTAAATTATTTTTGAAAAATTGTATTTTCAGCAAACATTTCGGCATTGC